TTTTTTTTCTCTTTATTTTTTTTCATGTATATATTAACCGACTTCTCTCAGTCAGATAGAGTGGGAAACTCACAATGATGACACCACTGGCGACAAGTGAGACGGATGAGGCGGAGTTGCGGCAGAAACAATTTCATCTCGCCCTCTTCCGTCTCCGTCTATTACTCGCATTAAATAAAAAAAACAAAACCGTAAAAGTGGAAAAAGTAGAAAAAGAAGAAGAAGAAGAGGGAGTAAAAGTAGTAGAAATATTCTCACCAGTAACTATAAAGAAATCACCCTTGTATGTGCAGAAGGTTGGATCTGAAGTCTCATTTACACACAACAGTTCACTTCATTCGGTTGATTTAGATGAAGAGACGGATGTGTGCCGGCAGGAATTAAGTGTAGAACAGAAAGAAAATAATAATAATAATAATAATAGTAATAAGGAAGAGGAAGAAGAAGAAGAAGATTCTGTTATTTCTCCGGTAATTCCACTTCCCTCATTATTATGGCCAATCCCAACATCTCAGGAACGACTTGAAGCTCTTGAAAAGAAAAGACAACGACAACAAAGACGACGTAAAGAAAGAGATGATGAAACGGAAAGAAGTTGGCTTTGTAGTACTCCTCTTAGAGCTATTGTGCGATCAAGTGGAATTCCTCTTGTTCGTACTACTAGTAATACGAATACAAATAGTAATATAGATACTGGGGATAAGAATATGCAGGAAGTAGATAGTAAGGATACCTCCTCTCTTACCATGACAGCGGATCGTAGTGATAGGTGTAGTTCTCAGGATACATATGCATCTTCTCATGCTTCTCATGATGATGTTTATATACATGAATTAGCTCGAGAGTATGGTTCAACTTCTACACCTACTACCGCTACTACTACTACACATTTTCGTCAACTTTCTGCATCTATTAGTGTTTCTGGAGGATGTCGAAGGGGTTCTTTTAGTCCTCAACGAACAGAACCTGTTATTGCGGCTGTTTTATCTAATGATAGTACAGCTGCTAACACACAAACAGAGTTTGACCAAATTGGTTCAGGTAAAGCGGAACCGTATACATCGTATCTTTTTTCACCATTTGTAAAAGTTTTGGATTTAAATAGTTTAGCCCCCTCTGTCGTTGATAATAATGATAGTAATAATAATGGAATTGGAGGAAAAGATGGATGTACGTGTGTACGTTTCTCTCCAGAAGAAAATTGTTATCTTATTGGTACACAACGAGGTGGTTTGTGGTTTATACAAATAGAAACACAAGGAAGTAATACTTCTACCAGTGTGAATACAAATACGAATGTTATTACTACTAATACTACTTCTATTACTACTAATACAAAACCTTTAATGCTTCAAGGCCATAGTGCTGCTATTATGGATATTGCTTTTAATAATGCAGGAACTTTTTTTGCTTCAGCTGGTGCAGATGCCTGTGTTATTCTCTGGAATAAACGAACACGACTTAAGGTACGTCGTATTAATACAGAAGGTGGAATACCTGCTAGTGTACATTTTATGCCAAAAAATAATAATTATCTTCTCGTTTCACTTCCACAACAACATCTTATTCGTTTATATAATAGTTCCACAGGTCTTCCTGTTACACGTAAAGGTGTAATAACACGTATTGAATTAACAGTTGTGGCCATTGAACCCTGTGCAGATCCTTTTCTTTTTGTTGGAGATGTAAATGGTACTATTACAATGTGGAGATATCGTGTTAGTAGTAGTGATACAAACAATGCCTTACCCCCAGTTATTGTGGAAGAACGAAAAGGGGTAATACAACAACAACAACAATCATTACTACTACCTCGACATGAGGGAAATAGTGGGAAACATACAGATTCTATTCGAAGTTTAGGGCAACAACTAAAGCAGGGAGTCCATAGATCACATCTGCATCAACCGTTAACAACAACAACAACAACAACAACATCAACAACTCCTTTTATGATAGAAAGTCAACCACATTTTGTAAAAATTGGAAGTTTGACGGTAGAAAAAGGTATTCCAGTTGGAACACTTGTAGTCAGTTCAATGAATTATCGTCAATTTTGTTCCCTTTTACATGCTCAAAGTGTTGCTCAAAAATTATCTGAGAAAACTGGAATTAAAAAATGGGGATCAAATGCTTTTGCAGGAGGGACGCGTCAACATAGTGATCCTCTGTTGGGAAGTAAAAGTAATGATATCGCGAACTCTGTACGAACAGCATGTAATTTAATGTTGTTAGCCTCATTTCCCTGTGATCGTTTAGTAATGCTGTGTATACAACCAGGTAAATCTACTCCACTTGAATATAAACTTGTACCTATGTTAGTAATAAATGGAGCATGTCGTATCCGTCAGTTATCGGCAGGTACCGCTTTTTGTGTGGATAATAAACGTTCTCCTACTGTTTCTTGTACTTGTGAAGAAGGTTTTGTACATATTATTACATGTAATACATCCTTTTCTGTTGCGATAGGGGATGAAAAAAAGAAAAAAAAACCTTTTCAAGATTCTACTTCATCACTTTGGAGTATAATGACAACTTTACCTGTTCCTTCTGGTGGTATTCCATGTAGTCTTGCATGGTCACCGGATATGCAATTTTTAGTAGTGGTAACGGAAGAAGGTACACTTTATCAATGGCAACGTGTTAATCCTTTACAAGGGCAACAACCCCCACAACCATCACAACAGCAACGACAACAACAACAACGCCATCTTCAGCAACATGATGTAGGTAGAGATTTAACAAGTACGAATAATCGTGACTATAATAATGATTCTATAACTGGTACAAGACCATTGGATGAAGTAGATGAATGGCGTATTTATTTTAAACGAGAAAAGGAGAGACAGATGCGTTGCCATCGTGCAGAAAGACGAACCGCTAATCCCGCAACCACAGGTGATGGTGGTAGTAGTGATTCGTTA